CTAACTTGGCCCACTTCAATGTCATTTAAAAACTTTACCAGAAGAGTGTGATCATCATCACAGCAGTTAGTTTTTGTCTCAGTGAGAGAAGTCGGACGTGCTCATGTCCCCCTTGGTGTGTGTCATGAGATGTCAGTGACATCACGCATGTGCTGATCAAGCACATGCTCCCATCTCAGGCCTGTCGTCTGTGTTTGTGTGCGTGCAACTTGAACTGGCCCACACAAAGATTGACTGGTCAAATGCTTTTACATTGTCATGTTCGCTTTTCTGTCCAATAAATTGTCCAACTTGAATTTGAGTCTTTGCCTATCATGACCAAATCCATCCTCAATTCACTCGAAGCCTTTTCAAAGGCTGAAGTCTTGAGCTCAGACTTGTGCTTCAGTCACATCAGACAGTCTTTTCACTGTTCCCGTTGGTGTCCACATGACTCGAAACTCCACGAATCGAGCTTTTGGGTGATGTGAAACCGACGGGAACAGTGAAAAGACTGTCTGATGTGACCCAAGTGCAAGTCTGAGCTCAAGACTCAAGTGGGACTTTGAAAAAGTGCTACAATACCCGCCCCAAACCACACCCAATTTGACATCCACCAATCGCGGTGAGGCCCTCATTTGCATAACCATAATTTGCATAACCACGCCCTTTCCAAGTTCTGACCAATGAGATTGCTCTAAATTTGCATAACCACTCCCCCTTTCCCACCTATCACAGCATGTTGTTGTCATGCTCCACCCACTTTCACAGCTATCAGCGAATCATCAGCCATCATTCCAGCCAGGCCTCACCCACTTTCCTGGATTTTTCTGCCTGGAAAAAAAAATACAGGAAAAAAAAATTTGGGAAAAAAAAATTGAAAAAAAAATCAGAAAAAAATAATTTTGTTTAAAATTTTTTTTCTTTTTAAAGTTAGATTGTGGTGATGTGTTTAAAAATGAAGTTGAGTTGAAGTGTTCTTTGTAATCAAGCTTTATTTCTTTTGCAGAGTAGACAATCACAAAAGCAGAGGAAAAAGTTGCAAGTTGGATGGTAGTTTGCTTGTTTTGCTGGGCGGTGAAGTGGTCAGCTCTTGAGAAGAACGTGGGATAGGTGTGTTGACCTGAGAGGAAAGGCATCCGTGAGTTACATGGAAGTCAATTTCTTGTGCAGACAAAGATGTGTTGGGCATGAAACTTACAAGGGAGCTAGACTGTTGGGTCTTTTGAGAGCAGGAAGCCGATCATGTTTATTGCTGCCTGGGGAAGAAAAAAAAAGTCAAAAAAGTAGTCATGATGGTGCATTGAACGAGTGTAAATGTCTCCTACTTTTCAGGCTGGCCCAAAGTTTGACTTAAGCACCTTGCGAATAACAGGAAGAAGAGCAAAAAAGTGTTGCCTGCAGGTCTGTGCTCGTAGGTGGACTCTGGCGGTGAGCAGGTGACTCCCTCTTGTGGCACGGAGGACCCAAGAACAATCTTCCTTCAACTCTGAAAAATGGAATGAGGCTTGTTGTGTTGGGTCTGTCTCAGTGACAGACTAAGGCTGCTGTTGTCTTCTTCTCTGATCAAAACAATGTTGTCTTTTCCTCTGATCAAAACAGAGTCTCCCCCTCCGGATATTCCACGAATTGCACCCTATTAAAAATATTCATTCCATGTCTTTTGTGCATTTTTTCAGTTTTAAATTATCCCGTGGGCCGGTTCCGGCCATATGTTATACACCCCCGATGAATAGTAAGGCGTTTTTAGCCGAAAAAAAACGACCATGTATAGTAAGGCGTTTGAACCCGAAAAAAAACGACCATGTTTCGGAAGGTATTTTTAGCCGAAAAAAATGACCATGTATAGTAAGGCGTTTTAACCCGAAAAAAAACGACCATGTTTAGTAAGGCATTTTAACCCGAAAAAAAACGACCATGTATAGTAAGGCGTTTTTAGCAGAAAAAAACGACCATGTATGTATAGCAAGGCGTTTTTAGCTGAAAAAAACGACCACGTATAGTAAGGCGTTTTAACCCCACAAAAACGACCATGTATAATAAGGCGTTTTTAGCCGAAAAAAACGACCATGTATAGTATGGCGTTTTGAGTCTAAAAAAACGACCACGTATAGCAAGGCGTTTTTAGCCGAAAAAAACGACCATGTACAGTAAGGCGTTTTTAGCCGAAAATAACCACCATGTGTAGAAAGGCGTTTTAAGCCGAAAAAAACGACCATGTATAGTTAGGCGTTTTAAGCCTAAAAAAACGACCATGTATAGTAAGGCGTTTTGAACCGAAAAAAACGACCATGTATAGCAAGGCGTTTT